ACATACACACACACACACACACACACACACACACACGCATACACAACTGGTTTTTCGTCATACTTGCAGACACTTAAACTAACCTATCTTAAAAGAGGTTATTTAAATATATTTTTAAAAGGTATGTGGCAAAGCCCTCTCGACACTCCTTTGTTGCTGGAGATCAGGTACTGCTCTCGAAGACTTTAAGAGAAATTTACATTGATTGCATTAACCAATGCACCAAAACTTAAGAAGTTATTCTAGTCAGTAATGAGGAGAGGAAGTGGAGAGGATAGATGCAAACTACCTACATTATGAGGCCAAAGTTTTTCTTGAAGATCCTTAGAGTAGCCAGGTAATAGGTCTTTATAGTTCATTGTTTGGTGCCCCTAAGGTGTAGATAGCTATCTATATTTTATAGAAAAGTCAGAGCTTAGTGGAAAGATAGGACTTTTGAGTTTATAAGACTGCCAAGGCTGCCATTTTGTTAATGTTTTGGTTCACTATCTTAGCAGAAGAGAGTATAAAAGTTTTGCCCAAGGAGAATTCTGCATATAGTACTCAGCCTCTTCATGTTGTTGTGTGACTTTATTTTTATAGCTCTTTGCCGTCCTCTGCCAGTCACTTTTCACCGAGGTGAGTCATTTTCTCTTTTAATACGTTTGTTAAATGGTGTCAGGTTTCAAATTTTACCAGATGGCATAACCCTTCTAATGAAAACTGTTCTATAGTATTACAGTGATACTAGTTATAGATTTAGAAATGGTGTTCAGTGCCTAGAAAACTTGAAAGCCCTGTTAATGAAAGCTCTTCTCTATTACTGCTTGAGAAGAGCAGTAACATTGCCTGCAAGTGTTGGTGTCCAAGCAAGTAGCAATCCTAAGATTCATCATTCATTAGATTGCTTTAGATGATATACAGCACTAAAAGGAATAAATCACCATGGCCATTGAAGTAAAATGTACCTCCTGGCTTATTTATGCCACACAAAACCATTCTCCATGTATAGAAATTAAGATAAAGTATTTGTTACCCTTTGAAATGTATGATACTACCAGAAACTATTGTCTTGATTTGGTATTAGCAATGTTTCTTATAAAACAGCAATTATTAAAAGACATCAGTCTGTCAGCATCTTGATGCCAGGCACACCAAAAAATTTTTAAACATGAAAAATATTTTAAATTAGTGAACATTTGTCTTAAAAAGTAGTTTAAATTTTGTCATTCTTACTAATTTTAAAAAATAAACCAGCCATATAGATTATATTTTTAAAATTGTATACTAAAAGATGACTTCAAATTTCTATTTCTTTCTTTCTCTAATAAGTCTAACAAAAATATTTTCACAATTTATAGAAATATTAGTAGTGTTCTTGGTTCTACTTTTTCCCTACTTGTTTATTTATTAAGTCAGTATAACCAGTGTTGAGAAAGCAAAGGCATAGGAAAACTTCTGTAGTACGCTAGTGGCCTATACCCACTAAAGGGTGGAAAAGGGAGCCTGTCCCAGGGACCATTAGTACCTCATCCCTGTAAGTTGGAATTCTGTATCACATGATAGAGCTGAGCACCAAAGCAGAGTAGTTTTTCTGTTTTAAGGTTCCTAGACCACTTTCCTTTCTTAGTGTTCTAGAGAAGTCCCAGCCCTTTCCTCTCCACTAACCTCCATTCGCCTCCCTTCCCCTGAACCCGAAAATTTTTCTGCCTTATCCTCCTGAGTGCCAGAATTATAATCCTGTGCTCTGTTCCTGACTTGAGAAAGGAAGTATCTTAGTGGGACAGAATTGAAACCTCATGTTGTCTGTTGAAAACAACCAGCCTTACACTATGAGAACAAATGACTACTCAGTAAATGTGAATGTGAGGCCAGGCTTCTCCCAGGACAAGCGAGTATAATGTATCATTTTATGCAGTGTAGATTGTCTGAAGCCTTTGCGTACTTTTTCCAGATGTGATCATTCACCCATTACATTTGTAGCATTATCATATTTAAATGCCTTCTGTATAAATTTATTATTATTTTAAGATAAATTTTAAGTAAGTTTATTTTAAAGAGAAACACTTGTGATTACTGAAAATTTGAAACTTGTCGCTTCTTATCTGGATCTCAGTAAATGCACCTCTAGGAATGTGTGCTGATAAAATGACCGTGCATATTACCAGTGGTTTGCAAACTTTTGTACTGGCAAACTCTGACTCTTAGAAAATGAAAAAGAACCCTTAGGAACAAAAAAAGAACTCTTAGCCGGGCATTGGTGCCGCATGCCTTTAATCCCTGCACTCGGGAGGCAGAGGCAGGCGGATCTCTGTGAGTTCGAGGCCATCCTGGTCTCCAGAATGAGTGCCAGGATAGGCTCCAAAGCTACACAGAGAAACCCTGTCTCGAAAAACCAAAAAATAAAAAAAAATAAAGAACTCTTAGAGCAGTCATGGTGGTGCACACTCTTAATCCTGGAACTCTAAAGACAGAGGCAGGTAGATCTCTATGAGTTTGAGACCAGCCCAATCTACAGAGTGAATTCCAGGCTACTTATAGCTACATGATGAGACCCTATCTCGAAAAGAAAAGAAAGAAGAAACTCTGGTTTGATGGGGAATGTACTTTGTATGTTTATCTTATTGATTGTTAAATAAAATACTGTTTGGCCAATGAGACAGCAAGTTAGACGGGACTAGGAGTCAAAGAGGATTCTGGGAAATGTAGTAGAGAAGTGCTGATCCAGACAGGAAGTGACATAGCAAGGAGACTCATATTTAAAGAAGGAGAAACAGGAAGCATCCCTCTTTTCCTCTCTGCTCCTGCTCCAGCGGCACAATGTGATCCACCGGCAAGGAGGGATGCCAATAAGGCGTCCGATAAGATAAGTCTTATAAAATATATAGGTTTATGATAGTTAAGACTGAGCTAACAGATGAGAATCCTAGTCATTGGCCAAGCAGCATTGTACCTAATTCAAGTTTCTGCGTATTCATTTGGGCCCTAAGTTGGGTGGGCAGCTGGTGTAAAGCTCACACGTGGCGGTGGGGCTCAGGCGGCTTTGACAGAAAGATTTATCATAACACTGGTTTGTAGCATTTTCTTGTTTCTGTGGTTTAATTGACTAATTTCAAATGCTATTTTATATACCAGTATTATAATATATATTATAATATGTATACACCCACTACATTTTGGGAACTATTGAATAAGAGATATTTCTTATCAAAATTCACATCAGTCTTACTTATTTTAGCCTTTGATATGGTTCAAGATCCAATGGCAGCTCTGGAGACTCTCTTAACCCTGGGATTTGAACGTGTTTTGACCAGTGGATGTGACAGTTCAGCACTAGAAGGACTGCCTCTATTAAAGCAACTCACAGATGAGGTACAAGATGGCTGCGGTTTCTGGACACTATTACTCAGCTAGTTTATAAAAATGAATGTTACTGACTTGCTGGTGATGGAAGAAAAGCAGAGCCAGTGACATATTTATATGATTTTTATTTATTTATTGCATGAGCATTTTAAGTAAACAGGGCACTTGAGATCAAATTATAGACAGCAAATTATACCTTTTCTGTGTTGTTAGTCTAGTTTTATACTGTATCTTTTTAACTGTCAGCCCATTGTGTATATGCAGGAAACCTGTTTTCATTCTACTGCATACCACAAACTCAAAATTTCTGTGATTTTTCCTTTAATATTTTTCTTATAAAGTTTATTTTTTACCTGTTCTTTGTGTTTATAACACTACATTTTTAAGACAATATAATAAAAATCTTTTTGGAAAAACTATGATGCTGAACATCTTTCTTGCTCACTACCTTTTCCTTCAGAGAAAGAGAGAGAGCTATTGAAAAATTAAACATTAACAGTAACTTAAATTTGTAATATTAATTTGTAATATTAATCTCAATTGAGAGAAAGATACTAAAATTTACTCTTTTTTTTCCCCCTTTTTTAGGCAAAAGGCAGGATTGTGGTGATGCCAGGTATTTGTCTCTGTTTTTTCTCGTAACACTGAAATAAAGTGTTGGAAGAGCAAATGAGTGAAGAAAACAAGGGAGAAAGTGTTAGAACATGGTACTTAAAGATAAAAATATATAGTTTGATTAAAACATTTTAAGATTAGGAGGTCTCTGCTGAGATTTAAAAATAAAGAGCCTACTAAAAGAAGTTGGTTCAAAGAGGAGCAAATAAGGAATTTTCTCCATGTTTCCTTTCTCACCATTTAGAATATTATAAATTTGAATATTCATCTTAATGAGACAAAGTAAGTTCAGTGCTGCTGTCCTATGATAAAGCCAAATGTTAGGCAACATGCCTGAATAAATGGAATATTCTGCCAGCTCATAAAATTGTATCAATAGACTTTAAATCATAAATCACATATCAAAATCCAACTTCTTCATGGTAAATTCAGAAGAAAGTTGGGCTAGAAGGAACATATCTCAACATAAAAAGGCTGTGTATGACAAACCTCATTTTAAAAAGCTCTAAGTATTCCTACTAAACTCAGTTGACACTCAGTAGAATTATGTAATTTCAATAAGATCTCACAGCTTTTTACAGTTGTAGTTGGAGAGCCCAGAATTCTAATCTAAATCTGACTTGTCAGCCTATGTTCTTTCTGTTTTGTTTTGTTCTGTGTTGTACTGTGTTTTTATTGTTGTTGTTGTTCATTTGTTTTGTTGTTTTTGTTTTGTGAGACAGGGTCTTGTTATGTAGCCCACGCTGGTCGTACTTGAGCTCATCCTGCCTCAGCCTCAAGTGCCGATATTAGAGATATTCACCACTATGCCTGGCTTGTTCTTTCCATTTTTTAAGGGTTAAGCAATATGACTGTAGCACTAACAACAGCAACAAATAGCCAAGTTAATGAGTCTGAATAAGTATATTAAAAACAAAGTGCATAATTACTACCATCTTAAAATGTTTTGAATGTATTTTCTATATCAGAATATGAAGATGAATATTTTCATATTCATAATTATTGGTATCAGTTCAGAGTATGACTGTCATAAATATGTTAAAGATTACCAAAATGAGTGTCATCATAAAGTACTTGGTTATGTAGTTTAATTAAAGTAAAATTAGATTCATTGGTGACATGGAACAGAGTTAATCATACCATGAAGAAGCTGTAAATAGTTTGCTTATTCTTATTTCCAATAGAGTCAGTATGTTCTTCAAATCCTGGGCCACTGTGAAATATTACAGGTTCTCTGCTGAGGATAAGTTTCTGATGCTTTTATAGCTTTTTCCTCAAACCTATCTTGAACTTTCATATATAAGTTGAGGGGAAAGCAACAATGAAATGCTGAATGATTTTCCGTGTTCAGAATAGTCCTTTTAAACCCAAAGTTAATAATGCATAGCGTTGTGACATAAGCCAATGGATAGATGGGTCAGAGTCTGTGTTTGTCTTCTGACCCAATTTTAGCTTAGAGACTGTAGTTGTTGAATCAGTGGAAATTTTTGGGTGGAGATTTTATGTAGAATAAGGATTTGTCATGTGATATTCTGTTCCATTTAATGTATCACTTTTTCTTTGTAACAGGAGGTGGCATAACAGATAAAAATCTTCAAAGGATCCTTGAAGGTTCAGGTGCTACAGAATTCCACTGTTCTGCTCGATCTTCTAGAGACTCAGGAATGAAGTTTCGGTACAAATACATTCTTTATGTACATGATAGGATGAAATTAATCTTTGCTTGCTTAAATAAGAAAACCTTAGTTAATGCCACTATTGAATAATAGAATGCTGTGATTATTAAGTATTATGATTGGTTTTTCAGTTGAAAATATTCCTAAAATGATTGTTATTCTACAGAAATAAACAGTAGCTTCAGAATATCAATAAACCTTTTTATAACCTTTGCTTAGTCTTGTTAGACATCACTGTTTTTTATGATTGTATCTAGTCTGTGGGTCTACTAAGAGAGACAGTTAATTCCTTGGGAATGATTTCCTAATTCAAGCATTGCTGAACTTAAGCACTTAATAAATTAATCCAGCAGTAAAGTACTCAGTGAGTCAGATGCTCACATGTACTCATTCTGTATGCTTTCCTTTTACAAAGTTAATAATTGGTATAAGGCAGCCTCAGTACCATTTGTATCTCTCCTACGTAAATAGTCTTCCTTTACCTTTGCTCTCTACTTGTAGTTGTTTTGAAATTTTATCATCATTAAGGACTTTAAACTATGATGTTTTTTTTTTCAATACCCTAGAGGATTCCTAACTTAATTGAATCATCTTTTACTGGGGAAGGAGGCGGGGTTCAACATAAAAAAGGAAGCCCTTAGCATGTACATTTTCAGATATAAAATCCAATTTCCTGCTTGATAGATTTAGTTACTAGATTTTTCAAGTAATTAAGGAAAATTGTTGAGTGTGGTAGTCCAGCATCATTGACCTTCCCTTATTCTTCAGCCATGAATTAGTTTATAAAGTGAAGGAGGGTGTGTTCAGCAACTGATACGATTATCTGCTCTATGTTATTTCCTTTGCAGAAACTCCTCTGTTGCAATGGGAGCTTCGCTTGCTCATTCAGAATATTCTCTGAAGGTAACAGATGTGACAAAAGTAAGGACTTTGTATGCTATTGCAAAGGATATCCTAGTTTAGTTAAACTTCTGTGAGAGACATGGATGTCACAGTGTGAAGGTAGAAGTAGAACCTTCAGCTCTCCACATGGCCATGGAGTATGCTTCTAAGAAGAAAAGAAATTGGAACAGCAATGCAATCATTTTCTTTGCCAGTCATTGCTGTCATTGTGGCTAAATTTATTCTGTGCTTCTTCCACAGAGATAGACTTAGTCAGTTTTCAGTGGAATTAACTGATAAACTGGCAAAGTTCAACTACAAGGTATGAAATCAGAATTTGGTTAAGGGTCAGTTTTGTACCACATATTTTGCCTTTTTGTTTGTAAAATAAAAATTCTCATTATATTGTATTATAGTCTCATATTTTTTCACTTAATATTTTCAGTAGCTTATTATGAAAGAAGATTGATTTGCTTTTATATTTCTTTTAGTTTTTCTTTCTATCATGTACTCATTGGATTTGTTGCTCAGGGCAAGATGTAAAGGTTACAGTAAAATGGTATAAAAATTGCCAGACTTGGACTTTTTCTTTCTGTTACGTTCTGACATTGAAATTGAGGCAAGAATATGGTATGTCTTCCAGTGTGAAATTTTAGATTTCTTTGACTCTTCCAATGAAAGGCATTGCTGATAACAACATAAGAGTCAAAAGTCTGTATCTCTGTCTAAAGGAGTCAAGGTGCTCGATGACACGGTGATGGCCACAGTTAAAGGCAAACCAGAACTCAAAAAGTACAGCCAACAGTGGTAATTTGGCAGTGAAAGTCATACTGGAGCCAGGCACAGTGGTATGTGCCTATAATTGCAATTGCTAGAGATGCTGAAGCAAGAGGATGACTTGAGTCCAGGAGTTCTGGGCTGTAGTGTACTTCGCCACTTAACTGTCTGCATTAATTTTGATATCACTATGGTGACCTCTAGGGATCAGGCGACCACCAGTTTGCCTAGAGAGGAATGACCCGTCAAGGTCAGAAGTCATCTTACTTTAAAGAAAATGTGGAGATTATGGTAAGTAATGAAGGTGAGACGAAGATTCTGCCATTACCAAATCTATTGCCGAGAAGTTTGCAGATTTGTGATTCCAGGTTGCAGGCTGTGCAGGTAGAATCCCAGTACTTAGACGACTGAGGTAGGAGGATTGCCATGAGTTTGAGACTAGCCCAGGCTACAAACAGAAACCTTGTCTCAAAAGATCAAATAGCAGGGCTGGGGAGATAACAGCAATTTAGAGTATGGGGTCCTTTAGAGGACCCAGATTCAATTCTCAGTACACACATGACGGCTCACAGTCATCTGTAACCAGAGTTCCAGGAGATCCAAGGCCTTCCTGTGGCCTCTTCAGGCACAAGGCATGCATGTGGCATACAGACTTAGATGCAGGCAAAACACCCGTACATATAAAATACACACAAAGAAGCAGAAGCAAGTTTCTAGACTCAGTACCATATATACTTGGAAAGAAATGTAATTTAGTGTTTTAGCCTGGCCCTCTCCCATGTTTGGGCTGCCTAACCCTCCAGATAAGGATTGTTCTGCCGTCTCTGTTTTATTCAAACAAATTAACAAAGTATCTAAGAGGTAATGGGAATTCCTTGAGATTTAATAACAAATTATGGCTGTTTATAAGACCTGAACATTGGGCTCCTAACCTTCCAAGTCAAGTTGTCATCTTTAAGATGCTTTGGTTTGTGGATGTTGTGCAAAGGACTGTCCTCCTGGGCAAATCAGACATACCAGGGATGGTTTCTTATCTCACAGTTTTATCAGAAAAAAGCTAACTTTTTGAACCTTAACTCTCTCATTCCTAAATGAGGAATAAAAACTAAACCATAGTTTTGACTAAATGATATAGTAAAGCACCGGACACTCATTGTTTATTCTTTTCTCCCATGTTAGCTTTCTAGGGTCAGTCTTGGACAGTTTAAAAGCTCTTTCCAGGAGGCAAAGAGCTTTGAAGTCAGCACTTGTTTTGTGCACTCCACTATATAATTATAAAAAAAAAGCAAAATAAGGTAATCCTTTGTTTTTTCCACATTTTAGTCCTGTTTTAAAATACTTTTTGCCACCAAGTGGTGTGGTGCAGGCCTTTAATCCCAACACTCAGGAGGCAGATGCAGGTGGATCTCTGTGAGTTCGAGACCAGCCTGGTCTACAGAATGAGTTCCAGGACAGCCTCCAAAACTACACAGAGCAACCCTGTCTTGAAAAACAAAACAAACAAACAAATAAAATACTTTTTGCCTTGGTCATAATGTTTTGTCACACACAGCACCAGGAAAGTATCTAATACAATAGGGTTCTAAGACAATTCACTGGGATGTGTGTTTGTTTAAAATAATCTTAACAAGTGGCACTGGGAAAACTGGATGTCAACTGCAAAAGATTAGAGCTATATCTTTATGCCATGTACAAAAAAGGATCCCAACCCTAAGTATAAGCCCAGTAGTACAAACCATTTAGAGGAGGGCAGCAGTGAGCCTTCGCCATGAATTAGCCAAAGAGCACACGAGGCAAACATAAAACAGGAATGCACTGGGCTTTATCAAAATAAAAAACTTAGGCTCCAAAGGATAACATCAGTAAACTAGAAGGATGACCGGCACAGAATGGGAGAAAATCTTTTCAATCATGTCTGATAATGCATAGTAGCTACAATATATAAAAAACATTTAAAACTCAAATCATGAAAAACAATCTAATTTTAAAATAGCAAATGATTTAACTAGAAGTTTCCAAATGAAAGTTACAAATGTTTACCATCTTTTTTAGTCACTAGGGAACTGCAAATCCAACCCACAATAAATTCCCCTTTATTTGCACAAAGATGTCTTCTCCAAGTGCTGGAAAAGAAACTAGAACCTTCATGTGCTAATAATGGGAGTGTAAAATGGTGCGGCTATTTTTGTAGAACAGTCTGGGAATTCATCAGTGTTAAACACAGAGATGCAGTGTGACTCAGTAATTACATACCCAAAAAACTGAAAGTAGATGAGTGTCTATATAAAAACTTGATATATGGATATTCATGGTAATATTACTTATCTCTTAGAGAATAATCATTTTGCATCTCCTAATGAAGTAAGAATTTAAAATGATCTGTGTTAAAATCTTTAGGTAAAATGTTGATTGGGAGCTAAATTATCTACATGGTGCTAAAATGCTGATTTACAGATTATTTACTAATTATTAGAATGGGAACTTGACCTTATATTTCACTATTTGGTTATAAACCACCATAAGTCATCATACAAATATTGGAAGACTGTGGAAGGAACTACTTTTTTGCACAGACTGGCAAATACCTGCATTGAACCAAGGAAGACCTGAAGGGCAGGATTTGAAGAGTTAGATACCAGGAAAGCAACTGTAGCAAAGTTATGTAGTGGATGACCTTTGGCCAAACAAAACTGAATTATGTATTTCATCTTTTATACAAGTATACACACTAACAAAGAAAAGGTGAATTACAGCATCAGCTCATAGGGTGACAATCATGTCATTTTAGAGTTTTTTTTTCAGTTTTAGCCCTTCAAAAATACCACATCCTGGAAACAAAAAGGTGACACTCTCCCAGCTCAGGAAGATGACCCTTGCACCTTCTGGTCCTTGCCTGTCAGCCTCAACTTGCAGAGGCGGCCTTGACAACCAAGGAAAAATGATAATAGGAATGCCTCATTTTTCCCTGGTGTTAGTTGGTTCTGCAAACAAGAAGGAACTCTCAATTGGATATGAGGGTTATTTCTTTTCTTTGGGGTTTTATTTATTTTGTTTTAGGGGATGATAGAAATGGTTGCCAAATTGATTGTGATGATGGTTATTGTGTAATTCTTAATAGGCTGAAAAATAATTTTCTCACAAAGTGATTGAATTATATATTTTAATAAAGTTGGTTTTTAAAAGGAAATATGTGAAGAAGGGTTTTTTTTTATTAGATTGGTCTAGAACATTTCATTCCTACGACACCAAAAACTAATAGTATCTGCTTGAAATGGAGTAAAGGAATAGATAATATGAGTGAAAACACCTGTGAAAGCAAAGTACTGTTTCTTATTCTCTAATTTGTATCTCTCAGTAGCATACTTTTGTTAAAACACAAAGAATATTTATCCACTCCTTCCTTGGAATCATTAAATATAACCTAGAATAACATCACAAATAGTTGAACCTAGAACTTCTTTCATGCTAGGCAAGCACTCTGTCACTGAGCTATATACCCAGTGTTCATCTGCTTTGTGTATGTGCTTTATCATTTTCACATACTTATGTATAACTTTTTTTCATCTATGATAACTTCATATGTGATATAACGCATCTGGTTACTTCCCTCTCCTCATCTTCCCACATTTGTGTAACCCCTACCTCTTTGTAGATCTTACATTCCTGTCTTTGTTTTGTCTTGTGACTCATTGAGTTTTAACCAAGAATATCTACGTGGCCATAAGTTTCAATTTATCCACTGGAGTCTGGTGGGTATGTAACTGAAGAAAATAACTGCCTTTCCCCCAGGATCCAGTTGTTCACCACAAGCGTGGTCCTGTGGATACTTCCTCTATCCATGATTGACTAATGACAGGCCCATCCCACAGTTCCTGTGAGATGATTGTAACAGCTGTGTGGTACCTAGAAGGGAGCCTTGCATAGCCCTTCTTCCTGTCATCCAGCTCTTAACATTCTTACTGCTTTCTCTACTCTGATGTTCCTTGAGGCTTAGGAAAGGTGGTATAAATTTCCTGTTTAGGACCGAGTTCTCAACCATCACTTAATTCCCATTGCCTTGAGCAGCCACAAGTCTACATCATTGCAGTTAATTGCAAAGAGAAGTTTCACTGATTAAGGCCAGGCATAGTAGTGGTCTAAGGGTATAAACATAAAATACTTGGAAGTCAGTTTGGTGCCATGTCACTTTAGCTAAACAGCTGTAATTAAGTTTCCTCTAAAAGTGTAAAAGCTGCTCCCCAGCTGTGGGGGTTTTTTGTTGTTTTTGTTTTTTTGTTTTGTCTCATAGTCATAAATTTGTGGCCATCTTTACTAGCAAATGAGAAAAACACAGAGAACAAAACTGGAAGAAGTAAATATTGTGAAGACACTGAGTGTAGCATGAATAAAAACCCAGAGACAGATATTGAGGTTCAAAGCGAAGATCAGAAAAGCAAAGTAGCCAACCCACTAAAAGAGTTCTTACCTCTACCAAGGCTGAGACCGAAGGGGGCCATCCTGTCCTCAGAGTGACTGCAATGCTCTCCATCAAAACCTCAACTGCTCTCTCCACTGCGTTGAGCTCCTGCCTTATATTCGATCTAGTGCTGGGATTAAAGGCATGAGCTTTGTTTCTCTCTTAGACTGATTCACTCTCCTGTAGCCCAGGATGGCCTTTAACTAACAGATACATCTGCCTCTGTTTCCCCAGTGCTGGGATTAAAGGTGTGGCCACCACTGCCTGTCTTTTATGGCTATTAGTGGGTTAGCTCTCAACTAGGTGTGTAGTTAACTAGTGGCTTAGCTCTGCATTCTGATCTTCAGGGAAGCTTTATTTGTTAGATTACAAACAATATATATCACTACATTTGAGCCTCTTGACCTATCTCTCCAAAGCTAGATCCATTCATTAACTTTTCTATTAGATTTAGAATTTTAAAAATTTATTAGTTTTATTTAGATCTCTGTTACTTAGAACCAGAGCTTGACTAAATTAGTTTCCCTCTCTTCACTGATGCACGAGAACCGCCCAGTCAAATTTGCAGCACTTGTGTAGATTAAAGCAGTGAATTTTGCACAAATGGCTTATCCCTTGTTTAATCTTTTCTGTCTCTTTTCATTTGTATTTTTGTCATATTTTATGTATTTTTAAAAACCATTTTACATCCCTTTCTGATATGAAAGTAAATAGAGTTTGTTCCTGTATTATCTTGAGTCTGTACTAGAACAAAACTTCTCAATCCTTTCCATAAAGCGTCATTGCCTTAGAGAGGAAGGCCATCTTTGACCATAGATTCAGGGATGGGCCTTATTGCAGAACTTGTATCATTTAAGATGCCAGGAGGTTTGCTAAAATTTGGGAAGCCCTCCTGAAAGTGTTCCTTTCTCTTAATATATGTTATATCCAGAGCTGAGTCCTGAAGATATTGCAGTCATCTCACACCTATTTAAGAATAAATCTAGGGGCTGGAGAGATGGCTTAGCAGTTAGGAGCACTGCTACTCTTCCAGAGGTCCTGAGCTCAATTCCTAGCAACCACATGGTGGCTCACAACCATCTATAATGGGATCTGATGTCCTCTTCTGTCATGCAGCCATACATGCAAGTAAAGCACTCATATATACAAAATACATTTTAAGAAAGAATAAAGTTCAAAATCAGAGAGAGGGATATGGAATAGAGTCACTGGAATTCTGTGAATTTTAATTTCACGGGGTTTAAGTTAGTTATATAAAACAAAAAATATTTCATTCAAACCGCTTTGATTTAGTTGTAACTTTTGCAAGAGGTCCTAAACTATTGAAAAACAAAACAAAACAGAAAAATCCAGCTCCCTCTCTAGCTGTAGCTAGGAGTTGAGAAAACTATAGCTATGTGGTATGTCAATAATTTGCAAAAGATAGCTTATCTTTGGAAATGTAATCTTACTAGTAAGCTAAGTCCCTTGGTTTGACTGAGTTCAAATGCCTCACAGGTTCAATGGAGCTTGTTGAAGCCACTCTGAGTTTAAGTCTGCTTCTCAGAGAATGCTCTTTATACCTGAGATTGCTCCAAAGTCTGTTGTTTCTGTGAAGATAGGACACTGACAGTTTTGTAGGCACTACACCATTTTATAAGTCATCATGTTTGCTTATTTTGTAACTCATTCTCAAGGTTCTAATCACAAGATACTGAGGAGATAATCCTTCCTGTCTTTAGAGGCCACAGGGAAACAGAATCTCTTAAGTAAATGATGATACAACACAGTTGTCTCTCATGTAAAAATCACAATTTTGAGAACAGCATTTTAAAATATGAATTTTATTTATAGTAAATTTAAAATTACATACCAATGCCAATTCCCTCTCCCAGCCTCCCCCTCCCTCCACCATCTCCCAACCCCCCTACATCCCTCAGAGAGGATGAGGTCTCCCATGGAGAGTCACCCAGGTCTGTCACATCATTTGGGGTAGGACCCAGGCCCTCCCACCTTTATCTAGGCTGAGCAAGGAAGGTGTTCCTTCTATAGGGAATGAGTTCTAAAAAGCCAGTTCATGCACTTGGGATAAGTAGTGGCCCCACTTCCAGCGGCCCCACAAACTGCCCAAGCCCATTGTTAGTTCAAATTTGTATGCCCACACTGTAGCTGATGCTCTTTAGATGCAAGCTCCTTAGTAAAAAAATTAAATTTTAAATTATAGATTTTAAGGTATCATTTAAATAAAATATGGGCCTCTTAGTTCAAGCTCCTTAAAATTACTCATTAATAGACCTTCCAAGTTGTCTTTAAACAAATAAAAGTCAACTGCTAACAAAAGGACTTGCAAATTTTCTACATATATGTATGTGTGTATATAAACACACAAGTATTTTGTAGTTATGGCAGTAGGCTTAAAGATATTTGTCTAGTAAATTTTCTTGAGCCCACTAATTTGACCATTGTCATGTTGTCAATTCACATTACTCTCTATAATAGGTCTAGTCATCAGCTCTAAGAAGGCATTTGATAAAATTCATAGGCATATGTCAAGGTAGTGCTTCTTGCTGGTATTTAACTTTGTCTAACAAGTATTTTGCTCACCAGGTCACATTGATGATGACTTGGAGAGCTAATATTCTACACTGTTCAAATCTTTCAGGCAGGATCATGTCATCTTCTTCAGTTGTCTAGTTTTCCTGAAAGCAATGGCTATTAATTTCTTGCTAGGCAGTGAGTGGCTCATGCTTGTATTCCTGTATCCTTGGGAAAAAGGCAGGAGGGTAACTTGAACCCAGGAGTTTGATGCCAGTCTGGGCTATATAATGAGACCTTTTCTCAAGAAAAACTAGATAGTTACTTGCACCTAATGCTACTAATGTTATGTTTCGCCATGATGTTATAGCTTAAAGTGTCCCCTCTGTATGTTACTTATGTCAGATAAATTTTCCATCTGGCTACTTCTTATCAGTATTTGTTTAGAAATTCCCTTTTGAAAAATAATAAACCATGTTTTCCCATGAAGAGTGTCTTCCCTTCTGCTGCCTGTCTTCTCATGCTAGTCTGTTTGCTTCAGTTGTGTTATGACTTGTCAAGTCTATATTTTATGGGATGTGTGAAGAAAGATCTAAAAGTTTATTGCTTTTCTGTGTTGATATCTTGCTGTCCAAAGAACGCTGTATAGGACATTCCATTCTGTCTAGTGTGTTAAAGGTTAAAAGTTGCTTGTGATCTCAGCACTTTACAGGAGGCTGAAGCTTGAAGATTAGATGTGCCAGCTAGCCTAAGTTACACAGTAAGACCCTATCTCAAACAAACAACAACCCCTCCCCCCAAAAGCCCACAACCTCTTAAATAAAAGTGTATTCTTTGAATCTTCTAGGAATATGATTCTTTGCCATTGATAACTTTTATGATTGTTATTGTTTTAATTTTGTGTGTGTGCACATACCAGTGGGCCAGGGCATGACTCTACAGATCAGAGGACAAATTTGTGGAGTTGGTTCTCAAGTTTCACCATGATGTGGGCTCCAGGGATTGAACTGAAGTTGTCAGGCTCTTGCAGCAAGCACCTTTGCCCACTTGCAACTTTTATAATTTTTTAAAGTATGACCTTAAAGACCACATAAACTTTCTTTTAGTAATTACCCTATTTGGGGCTGGCTTTAAATCTAATCTAATGAGTTCATTTATTACTTAAATATGTTCTCTGCAATTTATCCCTCAGGAAGAATTTCACTATATTCTATGTTTTAGTAATTGAAAGCAAGATAATTTTTAAAATGTTAATTATTGCCTGTATATCTTTCTTTGATCCATGGATTTGTTTATTTGCTGTTTTAAGTGCTGGACTTAAAACTCAGGGCCTTGCACATAGATAAGTGCTCTGCCATTGAACTACACCCTAGCCCTTGGTTCCTGTATATTCTAAAACAACCAACAACCAAAAAATCATTGTCATTTAGCAATATGATAATATCAATATTATTTTGCTATTTCTTTTTTTTTCTTTTTTTTCTTTTTTTTTGGTTTTTCGAGACAGGGTTTCTCTGTGGCTTTGGAGTCTGTCCTGGAACTAGCTCTTGTAGACCAGGCTGGTCTCAAACTCAAAGAGATCCACCTGCCTGTCTCCCGAGTGCTGGGATTAAAGGCGTGTGCCACCACCACCCGGCTTATTTTGCTATTTCATAGTCAAATTTTTTTTCATAGTCAAAATTTTTAATTTTGTCTGGGTACAAGATTACCATGCTAAATTTTAAACTATGAAGGGAAAAAGCATTGTTTTTCCTGTTGCCACTTTACTCTGGGTGTCTGAGCATTACACAAGAAAGAAAACCTTCCTAATATATAATCATTAACCAAAAGTGCACAATTCTTAGGGTTATCTTAGTCATTGAATGTCTGTAAATTTTTAAAAAGTTCTTTACTAGCTTATTCAATTAATAACTTATTAATAAGGCTTTGCTTGTTACATACCAATAGTATAGTACCCTTTTTCTCCTGAGTCATTGTGATCAAACATTCCCTGTCACTTAATTATAGCTGCCTGATTAGTTGTAGTGGTGTATCGTTAACCAAGGATGAAAAACCGTGTCGAGATGAAACTTCATTCTGCAAAGGTCACCAATTAGTACAGCTGTGTCAGTGGACAGTAGAACCTTATGCAGTATACGTCACTGTGTTGACTGAAATAGCATACTGTAAAGGCTTTTTTTTTTAAATATATACACACACTGGGCTGTTAAAAGACATTTTTGAAGACACATAAGGGAAGATTTGGTGGCTGGGGTTACAGCTGGGTGATAGAGACCTCTTGCCTAAACTGAATAAAGTCCTAGGTTGCATCTCTACAATTGAAGAAATTAAACTAAGAGAAATCCTCTTTCATAAGAACAGCTTTCTGACTCCTTTATTATGTCTTACAGCCCCTTATAGTAAGTACAGCCTTTGAATATGAGCGATAGCTCTCTAAAAGGGACCATTCATAAGAAAATAAAAAGGCTCACCTGATAGAACAGGAGCAACCCTAGGAGTCTGCAGGTGTTGGACTTCGACCACACCTTCAAGGTCTTAAGAGAGTTTGCAATTTAAGGAAGCCCTGTCATTTGTCTTCAGGCAAAGGGAATTGCCACACTATTTTTGTTGTTTCGCGATGCTTTTTGTTCTCTTATATAACTCGACCTTTTCAAATAAAGTTTATATTATTTTAAGCCATATTAATGTTTATTCTATGTTCTTAGCTAAAAATTCAGAGGAGTGCGTATTTAACAATTCTGTGAACTCTCAACAGAGTTCAGACAGAAGTGAAGCTCCGCATGTTGACTTGCAGGTCCCTCCGTTGACGTTTTTGTAGGTGACTAAACTCAGTAGAAGAAAAGCATACTGGGCTTCTGACTTGCCAGCCGCACTCACATCTTTGATTGGTTCCGTCTATATATGGGCACATTACAGGGGCTTTGGGTAACTGGTAAAAGTCTCCCTGTACCTGGAGATCCTCAGGCACATGTTTATCCACTAGGATGACATCAGCATACATTGGCAAAGTTAACTATTAAGTGATTAGGATGAAAGTTCAGGAGCCCTGCCTTTAACTGGGACATGAGAATGGGAAAAGCCCATTGCCTCTTACCATCTGCTTTCTTTGAGGAAAAGGGTAAAGAAGAAACAACACAATCATAGGAAAATCTTCATTACAGAAGTGCTCTGGACGTCGTTATGGAGGAGTTCTGCAACTCTACTTTTTGGGTGAGAATTTACATTTCTTCTCAAACACAGGCAAACAAAGCCATCAGTTGTGAACAGTGAATTTAGAAGTATATTTGGCCTAAAGTTTAGTTTGTTTAAGAAAAAAAAACATAATTTCTCCACTTGATCGCATCATCTAGGAAAGATATTAGTTCATTCTTTAGCTGTTTTTTGCAGATGATTTTCTTAGACTGCCTAGCTCCAGAAGCACCTTCTATCAGAGAAACGGAGAAAAATGCATTTTCTTCAGTGCTAGGAATGGGACTTGTTAAATTACAGTTTGTAGGGCAGGAAGAAGAGTAGAAGGCACATGTCTGAGCCCTTTGGGAACGTGCTGACATTGAGATGATAATAGTATGTTCTAGAGGAATTGTCAACCAAGGGTATGGACTATAAATTGAGACCAGGATTATAAATTTGGGCATTATGAGCACTGAAATAACTTTTGTCTGTTTGAGACAAGGTCTCTCTCTATAGCTCTGGCTGGCCCAGGATGCTCTATGTAGACCAGGTTGGCCTTGAACTCACAGAGATTCTTCACAGAGATCCAAGCCTCTGGAGTGCTAGGCTTAAAGGTGTGTGCCACCACCATACCCGACCAGAGATAATTTTCTAACTATTAGAACTGGGCTACACTGTCTTTCGAGGAAGAACAGAACTGAAGAAAGGGCAATGTGTTTGGGAAGGGATTTAAACAAGAATAACCCATGTAGAACTGGAACTTTCAAGACAGAGCACATTACCAAATGACTTAGCAGATGGAAAGTGAGATTCTGAGTGTTGCCTGCAAACTCTAAACATCGTGTTCAAATATGTTAGGTAAGTTTTCTGAATTCTAAAGTTTGGTGTCCTTCCTTAGTGATGGGAGGAGCAGGAATGACATCACAGACAGTCCTTAATATATTAGGAAGAACTTAAAATGCCAAGCCTCCACAGTCAGGACGTGAACTCTATTAAAAGGTAGCAAACCATCTCTTGAGAACCCCCTCTGAGAATTATTCAACAAAGCATCTTGGCAGGCACTGTAACCTTTCCTTTAAATCATAAGTACCAATAGGTCTACAAAACCATCTGAAAGTATTTATGAAAAAAGATAAATCTACCTTTACTCTATTCCAATACCGGAACTGCTACCTACCCCCAACTCCATTCCCAAAGCCTCTTTTATTTATTACATGCATAGTATAAAATATGCTGCCTGTCATTCCTGCACTGAAATGTACTGTTTCCCCTTGGTTTTGATATAAGCCTTCTCAGCCATAATAGTCTGAATGTCATAGTTTGACTAAATACTCCGTCTGTCTGGTTCCTGCATGTTAGAATATTTGCCAGTGTGTTCAAACAGTGCTAGAGACCAGGTGCCATGTTCTTATCCCTGGGAATTAGGGGACATGCTCTCCCCTTATTGGGATAGAGGAATAGTCCGTATTCCTTTAATTTGGTAACTATTTTAATGAGTTACACAGACTAGTCAGTGTAGAAATTCACTTAAAATCTCATGAAGGTAAGCTTTTAGAAGTGGGATTACAGGGGCCGGAGAGATGGCTCAGAGGTTAAGAGCACTGGCTGCTCGTCCAGAGGTCCGGAGTACAATTCCCAGCAACCACGTGGTGGCTCACAACCATCCGTTATGAGATCTGTGCCCTCTTCTGGCCTGCAGGGATACATGGAGGCAGAACACTGCATACTTAATAATAAATCTTTAGAAAAAAAAAAAAAAAAGAAGTGGGATTGCCAGAAAAGCCCCTAAATATCATTAAATGGTGAATTTGTTTTAATCGTATACATTTATTAATGATGAACACAAAAATAAAAGGTAAAGCTTGCTATAGACATGGAGTTCAAGTCCAGCTGTTTGGAAGCATATAGAGAATGGACGTTGTTTAAAAAGTATGAATATGCATCTACCAGTTCTTCCTTTTGGTCCCACAGAATTCCTCATTCCTGGAGAGACAAGAAGCAGACCTGCCACTTTGTTTTGAACAAACTGTTCTCGTGTGGATTCCCTTGGGCTTTCTTTGGCTCTTGGCCCCTTGGCAGCTTTTCAGTGTGTATCGATCCAAGACCAAGAAGTCATCTATAACTAAATTCTACATTGCTAAGCAGGTACAGTAGCTCCACTGTTTTAAAACGCTGATTTGTTGGTGTAGGGGTGAGGCACTTTCTTTTGGGTTAGTGTCTTTGTCCCAGTCTCTAATGGATTGATGGATAACACTGTTTCAAGCAAAGCCATGCTGCAGTCCTGCCTATGTCTCACTGGCCATATTTCTTAGTCAAAGTAGCTTTGGTTTTTGTATAAGAAGAGTGACTCTGAATTCTTGTGGATATTAAGTTCCCTAAGCACAAATGAGGGATCAAAATAGCATCACCTTTTATGTATTTTCGATGTGAACAACGGGTCACCCATCTTGAATGTTCTCTCAAGATCACGGGTTGTGCTCAGCTGGCACCTACCATGAGATGCAGATGAACTATCTAATGTTTTCTTTTGCGCCAATCTAACCCCAAACTTAGATCTGAAATGGGTTTTTACATGTTTCCAAAGTATTTCACTGGTCAGGAGATCATGCATGGGGGAAAGAAGGGCCAGATCAGAGGAGTAATAGGAAGAATATGAGTCATAGTGAAGGACCCGGCTTCCCTTTTGGCAGCCATAATGGTCGAACATGTGCTTCTATGACCTTGTCCTAGACACTAGAAAGTCAGATGCCTGTCTCGTGACAGGGAGCCAATCAGAAGGTAGCTGGTGGCGCTATGCTTTACGACCCTGGGTGTGCTTTACAGACAAGCGCACAGCAATGACGTAGAGAGCATAGCAACCACCCTGGGAGGGCCTATGAGCCATAACAACCAGTTGACCAATCAACACAGGGCAAGCCCTCCAAGCCTGGAAGCACACCAATC